GCCTGGAGCTGATCAGCCACCACCCTCTCTGCCACTTTGCTAAGGAAGGAAACATTGGTGACAGGCCTCTGGTCTTTGCTCCCTGTGGGGAGGGAGAGCCACTGAGAAGTTGCAATTTATTAGGCGGTGATCTGACCATGACACAGGGACTAACATAAGATCAGTCACCATCAGATCACACTCACTCTGCTCGGTGGAGAACACCAGATCTAACGTGTGACCACCCACATGGGTGAGGCCATTGACATGTTGGGACATGTCCAAGGAAGCCATGGTTTCCAAGACCTCAAAAGGTGGACCAGAAACCTCCACATGGATGTTGAAATCAGTCAAGACCAGAAGCCCTGGGGATTCCAACAGTGCCACAGAGACTAAGCTCCGGGAAGGAAATGGCTGGGTTGCGGAAAGCGCAGTAACCCAGCAAGACCCCAATACCATCCCCGGCCCCAATTGACACATGGAGGGCCTCAAGACCCGGCATCGCCATTGCAGAGCTCTTAACAACCTCTAGAGTGTTTCTATAAACAGTGGCTACTCCACCCACCCACCACTCCAGTCTACCCTGGTGCTGGGCTGCATAACCAGGAGGACAGGCAAGAGTCAAGGGAACACCCCCTTCCCTGCCCATCCAAGTTTCAGTTATGCATGCCAGATCTGCATCCTCCTCCAGAATAAGATCTTGAATAATCTGAGATTTGTTGGATACAGATATAGCATCCAATAACACCAGATTTAGAGTGGAGGGACAGCTGAACTGGCAACCGCGAGCTACTTGCTTTGAGAGGAACAAAGCAAGTAGCTCAAATGAGGCCCAATAATAGTTTTCATAAAAATGTATGAAGGAAAGCAGGCCACAAATTACACAATCTCTGGTGCCTAGATATGAATGCCATGAGTACAGGAAACAAACAAGAAGTTCAGGAAGATAAATATTACTTTAGATAACTGAAAATTGTTAGGATGAATCTCATGACTGAAATACAGCAATTGAAAGATATAAATTGTTCAAAAAGAACAGAAAGAATAGAAAGGGAGGCAGAGTTGCACAAGTCAAAAATACATATTTGTCTTCAGAAATACTGAAGGATGAACTTGGCAGCTCATTGAGAGCATCTGGATTAATATAACTGGGATGAAAAATAAAAGGAACATGGTAATTGGAGTCTCCTACCAACCAGCCAATCAAGAAGAAAATGTGGATGAAACCTTTGAAGAACAAATTGCAAGAATTTCAAAGAGACATGATGTAGTAATAACAAGAGATCCTGATATGTGTTAAGAAGCAAATTCTGCCAAACATGGCCATTCGGAGAAATTAATGGTTTGCATGGCTGATAATTTTTTTTCCTACAAAAAGTGGAGAAAAAATCCTAGAGGATTAGCTGTCCTGGATTTGATTCTAACCAACAGAGATAAACAAACTGGTGGTAATGGGAACTGGGGGAAAGTAACCATGTTGTACTTGAGTTCTGGATTTCAAAGTAAGCAAAAATGGAAAGCCAGTTTTAATAAACTCAGCAAGTAAGGCCTCATGGCAAGAGATCCTAACAATCAAAGGAGTCCAAGATGGATGAGAATTTCTTTGAAAGTCAATTCTAAAGGCACAAGGACAAGCAATTCCAACAAGGGGGGAAAGAGGTGGAAGACAGTAAAAATGACCTATGTGGCTTCACAAAAAAACCAGAGAACCTGCCGACAACAACAAAGGCCATCTTTAGGAAGTGAAAGGAAGGCGAAGCCACAAAGGAAGAGCACAGACAAGTACTGTAGCAAAGAATTGCAGGAATGGTGTTAGGAAGGCAAAAGGACAACAAGGATGATCAAGGGACTGGAAACAAAGCCCTTTGAAAAAAGACTGAAAGATCTGGGCATGTTTAGCCTCGAGAAAAGAAGATTAAGAGCAGACTTGATAGCACTCTTGAAATACTTGAAAGATTGTCATACAGAGGAAGGACAGAATCTGTTCTCAATCATCTTAGAGTGTAGGACACATAATAATGGGTTCAAGTTATAGGGAACCGGATTTTGGTTGCATATCAGGACAAACTTCTGAACTTTTGGAGTATTATGACAATGGAACCAATTACCTCAGGAGGTGGTGAGACCTCTAACACTGGAGGCATTCAACAGAAAATCAGACAACCGTGTGTCAGATATACTTTGATTTGGATTCCTGCATTAAACAGGGATTGGCGTTATAGGCCTATTCCAATTCCATTATTTTATGTATGAAAAGGGAGTGGGAAATCAAGCAAACCCCAGTTTTTTCCTGTATACCCAGATAAAGAGAAATGTCACCTGGATGGCCAGAGAAAGCCTGCTAAGGTTTGTGCTTGAGGGAGAACCTGAAGGAGTATAAATGCCAAATTTGGAAGCGTCCAAGATTAAAAGATCTTGCTGATCCTACTTTACAGGACTGTTGTGAGAAAAAGACAGGGAGGAACAGTCAACCTATCAACACAAAGCATCAATCAATCATAATATTTAAATTTTTTCTTACAAAGGAGAATGGGATAGGGCTGGGAAAAATCCAGACTCTTGATGTAATAGTACTTGGACATATACAAACTAGCCATTACCAGCAACCCCCATCCTCTTCACCCTGCTACTTCCTGCCCCATTGCTGATGGGAGCTGACTGCTTTGGACTGGAATAAATTCCATTTGGAATGAAAATACTGAGGAAACTGCTCCCACTGCTTCCTTAGTCACTAAGCAACTGCCTACATAGTTTCTCACTTCCTTCCTCCACCCCCAAAGTCTCTTAGATCAACAATAATTTCACTGCCATTTGAGAGCGGTATGAAAAAACTGACGTATTCCAACCAAGTAAAACTGTAATTTTAAATTATCTTGATCCTAAGGTCACATAAACACCTACAAATTCGAACAACATGTTTCAAATAAGGAAGAGGCATCGTTATGCTATAATGGGTAGGTGGGTGTTCTAACTGTTCCTGTGCAAACTAACATGTTCATTTGTACTTGCACATATACACATGCCAGATACACTGGGGGGAAAAAGCCCTAAAAATTATGATATCTGATAGCTTTGATAAGGTTAAGAGAAAGATGTAATCCAGCAGCCAACTAAATGAAGGGGGACAGACAGGCAAATATTATGTCTAGAAAGATCCAGACTTTGAAAAAGGTTCACTGCAAGGACGGGTGGGGCTTAATAATTACAATAAATGTAGGGTTTTAAAAATTATTTTTCTTTTATATTTGGCCTCCTTGAAAGAGCTAGGGTGGAGAAGGCTGTCTCAGAGTAATAAGACTGGATTTTTAAAAAGGTTTTTGTCTGTGGCAGGGTTATGAATCATATTGAAGATAAATTCCTGGGCTCAAGATTTTTTTAAAAAAACTCTAAGCACATGTCTTTTGCATGAGACTATTAGGAAAATCTCAGGGATGGGTCCTAGTAAAAAACAAAACAGATCCCCCAAGTCTGAGGTCTACCCATCTCTGGTCTGGTCCAGTCTTGTCACTCCGACTGCACAGTATTAGATACAGGTGGGCATGATGGGGAAGGAGGCACACATAAAGATCAAATCATGTAGCCAGTCTCTCCATGGCAACATGGTAAATAAAAAAGATATCCAGAACTGCCTGGCATCTGTTCCCGCAGCACTTTGAAATGAACAATGTTTGAAAGATGGGGAAAGTGATATTGTCTTGCATGGTTTGAGGTTCAGGCTTGCAGTTAATCAGTCCAAAGGCTATCTTAGATTTCAGCCATGCTAATCTACAGAAAGACCAGGGAGACCAACAGGGCAGAGTCTGGAAAAGTTATTTTTTGAACTTACAACCTTCAGCCACCCATATCAGCCAGTATCCTAAGCACCAGGTTAAAATGTTGTTGCTGCTATTGTTGTATGCCAGCAAGTTGTCTCTAATGTATGGTGACCCTATGGATGAGTGACCTCCAAAATATCCTGTGCTCAACAGTTCTGCTCTGCAATTGCGAACACATGGCTATGGCTTCTGTTATGGGGTCAATCCATCTCATAGTCTTCCTCTTTTCCTACTACCTTCAACTTTTCCTAGCATTATTGTCTTTTCCAGCCAAGTCTCATCTTCTCACTGGTTACCATAGTGAGGAAATCTGTTGTCTTTGTCTGGCAATGTATCCTTGTCAGAACAACAAATGCAAAGTACTGTACAGTGGAGCCTCGCTTAACGAGCGCACTGTTTAATGACGAATCCGCATAGCGACACGTTTTTTGTAATCGCTTTTGCGATGTTTAAATAGGGTAAACATCGCATTGCGATGTTTTAGAACAACTGATTGGCGGTTCCAAAATGACCACCGGATCAAGAAAATGGCTGCCCCGCAGCATTTTTGCGCTGATTCCTCACTTATCGAGGCGGCGAAAATGGCGGCCCTATGGAGGATTCCCACTTAGTGGTGAGTTTATCCCCCATAGGAACACATTAAATGGAGTTTAATGCGTTCCTATGGGTTTTTTTGCCCCATATAGCGACATTTCCCGATAGCGACGATTTATCTGGAATGGATTATCGTCACTATGCGGGGCACCACTGTACTGAGAAGCATAGCAGTGGCAGGTCTTTTCAGCCTGGCACGGTGGGGCAGACGCTGTTCAAGAAAGCTGCCTAGTAGCCAAAGCTTCTCACAGAACTTTGCTATCCCCAGGTCACTCAGCCAGTGAGGGTCTTTTAAACACACATATACACACACTCATAGGGAGTAAAAAACAAACAAACAAACAAAAAACAAAAACCTAATCTCAACCTGGCTTTTGAAAGTTTTAAGTAGAGCTTGGGAAAATATCTGATTCGGACTACAACTCCCAGAATTCCCCACCAGCATGGTCATGCTGTTGACATATTCTGGAAGGTGCAGTCCATTTCCAAGCTCTGGCCAAGTCATGGGGAAATGTACTGCATACTCACTGGGCATGAAAATCAATCACTACTGGAGTTTGGCTCTTTAGAACGCGGTCTTGGAAGTCATCCCCATCTTGAATATTAAAGGTGTGCCTGAAGACTTGAGTCGTGGAGAATGTTCTCACTATTGCAGGCATGGTAGTGAAGGGAAGGGGCATACGGCAGCCAATACTACATGGTACAGCTGAGAACCTCCAAAGGAGCAATGTGGGCTGGCGACAAAGTGGTGTTGAGAGCTGCTTGAAAGGGAAGGACAGGAAGGGCCTTAGGAGGACTTTTTGTGCCATCTGGAAAAGAAAGAACCAAAGCATCACAATGAAGAAACAGTGCAGAACTTGTGGTGAATGAAAAAAAAAGATATATAGCGTTTGTGCAGTTTCCCCTCTAGTGGCTAGAGGGAGTTAAGACTCTTTCCTATGTTAATAAAAATTATGTGCCCTCAAGCGGATTCCAAGTTATGGCAACCCTCGCCAGGATTTCCTAGGCACACAGTACTCAGAGGTAGTTTATCATTCCCTTCTTCCAGTGGGTCTCTAGGAGACATCTGCAGCTTACCCAACGCTGCACCTGTGGGCTCTTTTCCTGGGAGGCACAGTGGGGAACTGAACTCCTGAACCTTGGCTCCACAGCAAGGTACTCCAACTTACTGGGCTATCTTATTAGGCTACTTCCTTCACTTCCACTTGGTTCCAAGGATTCCCTGTTCATGTCTCCACCTATTTCCACCAGTTGCTAATGCATCTCATGCCCACTTCAAAGACGCTGCTGCTGTTTAACATTTAGGACTCCCCTCCCACCTCTGGTTAGTATTCTGCAACTTCCAGTGCCATCTCATTCATGCTGCCCAGCATTTTAGTGCCCCTCACACATAGCATGTGCTGTCCCTAATATGCTGTTATCTTAATCCTGTTTATTTGATACGACTAGTACATACATCTAAGTATTATATAAACAAACAGTAAAGGGCAGAAATCCTGCCTGCAGGCTTCCTATCTAAGCCAGTGGTTTGCAAATTTTGTTCAAAAAGTCTTTAATCTCCAGAATCCCTAATCATTGCCTTTGGTGAGTTTAAACCCAAAATATCTGGCAGACCAGAGTCTGAGAACCACCAAAACCATTTTTTCTGACCCATTATTTCCATTTTGGCTCAGCCTCATTTAAGGTTGGCAGGTCCAAATGACATGGGCGGACTAGAACTATGAGGAAGTAGAGAAAGTTTTTCTGTGTTCTACAGATCAACGATGTTTGCAATGAAGATAGTCAGACGGTGTGCATGTGTGTGCATGTGTGTGTGCTTGGGAGCTCAGCTGCACTACGTTGCTCCGCTTTTTAACCTTGCCATTTGGTTGCTCTTGGCTTCTCCAGTCCTACTAGTCAAGCTGGAGACTGCAGTCTTTTTGCCAGATAGTTCTTCTCCAAAGGCAGTCAAATATTGACTGAAACCCAGTCATATAACTTACATATCGTAAGGCTGGTGGCATCATCATCTTCAGCATTTTTTGCAGAAATTATACCTTTTCAACAACTTCCCCAAACATTCCAAGCTCCACAAGCTAAATTCTACAATGGTTAATATCATGTAAGAAAGGAGAAAGACAGCTTTACAAATTAATAATATTGTTTTTCTTACCACTTTATTAGAATTTCCTCCTCTGGTGCTACGTATTTATTTATCTTAGAAAGAGAGGCAAGTAGCACACTACACCAATCACACTTAAACCCTCACTATAGAATGCATTTCCCTAAAATTTGGAAAAACAAGATTTTTGCAATTAAATGTGATCATGCTTTTTACCTCCTTTTTAAAACGTTCAAAACACACATGCTTTTAAAATTTAAGAACTATTACTAATAAAATAGATAATCTGTTTTTATGGGGCAGGAGAGCAGCACTGTGCCATTCAAAAAAGCTGTATTAGATGAGTATTCTTAGCATTATTTTTGTTTTGGTTACTTGTTTGATAAATAACCTATATATTAAAAACAACTGAAAGGACTTATAGACCCAAGCCTCTATTTTACCTTTTTCTTCCTATCCTTCAGACACTTCCAACTTCCATATAGGTTTGCCAACTTTGGCAGCTATAGAGCCAATGAAAGAAGAAAAATCAGCTGATGTAAATGCTTTCCTGACTGGATGGAAAGGCGACGAGAAAAGTTTCATTTGGCACACACATTTTTTGGATCGTTTACGCATCTGGCTGTGGAGCCATAGTTTGGGAGTCTGATTCCCTCCACTGTGCTTCCCTGACAGGGGATGGACTTGATGATCCACAGGGCGCCTTCCTGCTCTGCCCTTCTAAGCTCATTGTTTTTAGAAGCAGCGACAAATAACATAAAGCTCAGCCTCTGTTTCCCTAAGCATGGGGGCTGGGGGTGTCGACGGTTGATCTCGGAAATCTCCTATAAGGTGAGGCGCATGTTTGGAGCTTTACAGGTGAAAAAATTACGGCTCTGAACACGGTCAGAGGTGTATTATTTATTTTATTTTTTATTTATTTTTATGTAACTTATATGCCGCCCACATTACCCAAAGGTCTCTGGGCGGCTTACAACAATTATATAAAACATACAGCTAAGAAACCATATTAAAAGAAACTAAACAAAGCCCCATCACGTTATTATTTTCACATGTTACTATTTTCCCCCCTCAGAATTTCTGCTTCATTCCTTTAAAAAAAATTATATTGAAAACAACATAAACCAAACCAAAAACACTTCTATAATGTATTACATTAATTTATTTATCTTAAACATATTACTTCACCCATGCCACCTTCATCCTCAGGGCTAGGTTCTGCTTTTAATATTCTTACATTTCATTTTGCCCGATTTCTTGCCAGAGTATACTCCCTCCTATTCCAAAAAAAAGTATTCTATAAATAAATTCCATATTTTTAAAGCCATTGCTTTTGATAAGCCTCTTCTTAATTTCATTTCACAAGTCACTTCATCGTTAATTTTAACAATGTATCTGCAGTGACCATTCCCCACCTACAGAGATGTGCTCGAAAGCAACCTATCTCGCCTTCTCCCCAAACGCGCCAGAGCTCCTAGCTTGTACCCTGATTTTGTTGGCCAGAAATCTTCCCCTTTGCTGGCAAACGAGTCTCAAAAGGGACCTGCACCGCTAGCTCGCTTACTGTCTACAAACGCCTGGGGGGGCTCATTGATGACTAACCCCCGGTCTCGGTTATGAAAGGAACGAGGACTGTCAAAGGGGCCACTGCTCCCTCTCACCTTTCACGCCCCCTGAAGCGTCTCACGAGGGCCACAACCCGGAAGCAAAGAGCAGGGACACCCGAGCAGTTTATTGGCAGAGGATGTAGCTTCAAAAGAAGTTAAAAGGTCTCGCCTTGATGATTGGCTGACGAAATGGGCGTCTGGCGAACTATGGACGATGGTTGGTTAAGGCGGGTGCCACTCGTCGTCGTCGTCCGTCTCCTTCGTTGGTTGAAGAAGTTATCGTTCCGACCGCGGTGCAACTTTTTTTCCCGTCCGGCTTCTGATCGGCTCTTTGGCAGACTTGACCTTGGAGCAGATTTCTGTCGCGCCCGTCGCAAAGCGCTTCCCTGGCGGATCAGGGCTGGAGAGCGCGGGTTTTGCCTTGGAAGGCAGCGTTGCGTGTAACGCGGAGTCTCTCCTCTCTCTCTCAGTCCGGTTAAATTTTGACAAGAGTCTCATTTTGAAGGACTGACTGCGCCACAGTGTTGGCGGGTGCCGGCGATTTACCAACATCTTGGGTTTGGGCAACAGATTTCAATAACAATAAAATGGGGGTTTAAAATATAAATTAAAATATTGTTTATTTATTTATTTAAAATATTTCTGACCTACCTTTCTCCCTAAAAGGCTTACATCACTAAAACAGTACTTAAAAGCTAAAACAATAAGGATACAAATATTTAAAAAGAATTAAGCAAGTACTATATTGGATAGAATTAAAAGCGGTAATTAATGCAAACTAGCAGATTGGGGAAATGATATGATAATATCAAAGCTCCTGAAGGCTCAGGTAGTAGGAGCAGTTTAGCATTGGCTTTTATTCTGTCTGTCAGTGCTTGCTGTTTTCCTACAGTTGCAGGGAATTTTAACCCCTATTACAGTAGTACCTTGGTTTACGAACGCCTCAGTTAATGTAATTTTCTGTTTATGAATGAAAATCCATTGAACATAATGCCTGTTTATGAATTTTTTTTCACAATACAAAGCAAGTTTCCCCAGTTTGCCATGTTTTAAAAGCTGAATGTTTGAAATGTTATTGCTTGATTATGTCCCTTTACAGTACAGTATTTATGCCTTTAAAATGCACTTTATTAGAGTTTTGAACAGATAAAAGACTTTTTTTTACTTTTTTCTGACCTCCAGAATGGATTAATTGCTTTTCAATGCATTCTTATGGGAAACCACATTTCAGTTTACAAATTTTCACAATACGAAATGTCCCAAAGAATGCATTAAATTCTTAAACCAAGGTACTACTGTATTTGAACATAGAATCCAGATGTGGTATATATTTTACTGAAATGGGACCTGTCGCAAAGTTTTACTGGACAGTCAGAGTGGCACACTAGCTTTAATTGCACAAATGCACTCCTGGCCACTGCTGAGACCTGGACTCCAGGCTCAGAGATGAATCTAGAAACACCAGCAAGCTGTGCACCTGTTTTTTTCAATAGGAGTGTAATCCCATCCAGTACCAGCTGCATCCCTATTCCTTGATCTGCTTTTTGACTGACCAGAAACACCTGTCTTGTCAGGATTAAGTTTCGATTTATTCAGTTTCATCCAGTCCATTACTGATACCAAGCACTGATCTAGAGCCGAAGCAGCTTCCTCAGATGTAGATGGCAAGGAGATAGAGTTGGGTGTCATCCGTATATTGGTGGCACCGAACCCCAAATCCTCGTTTTGCATGGAGGTGGGTGGGAATAGTAAACCTGTTCTCATAACCTTGGAAGCCCCAGTAAGGTCACTGTGACTTTATGGCACATAACAGCCAGTGTATTCAAGTTCCTTTTAAAGAGTTCCTGCTGGTCAGCCATGTTGTTTTCCAGAACAAGCATCAATAAAGTCAAAACTCATTCCTTTTCCTACTCACCTCTGCATTTCTAGTGGTTGGTTCCTCTTCTCCCCAGTGGAAGTAACATCTGGTGCTTCCTTACTACCTAAGGAAGTAAGTTGTTTTTCAAATATTTGTTCACTTTTCCAAGTCTTGGGAGTTCCCTGAGTAGTTGCTAACCTCCAATTCCATCTAGTGGGCAAGGCACCCACCTCACTCTGAGGGGTGAGCCTTGTTGTGAAACACAGAAGCAGAAAAAGTATTTTCTTTCAACAAAGGGATTGCTTTGCTTGCATTCAAATACACTTGCTTTAATTATATGCACAACATAGTGAATTCAAACACATATTGTAAGAGATTGGATGACAACAGAATCTCATGTTTTTTTTCTCCACACGCTAGCACTCTAGTGTACGATGGCTGGTGGCCACGTTCTATGGGCAAGGGGGCTTCAGTGACAACTTCAAGACTGGAAGTGGAACAGGGTTGTAGCCCAACTGTTGCCATCACACATTTTAAACAGGCACTGTACATTTAATAGGCACTGATAATAGTTGGTATTTTGTCTTTTTTCCTCCAGTTGAAGCCAATTTAGGATGATATTTGAATGCCTATGCAGCTTGTATACCTGCAACACTTGATGTGGATCTAGGCCACTTTTCTATAGTTATTCAGTTTTCCACTAAGACAGAAGGGTAGTTTAGAGTGACATGGAGAACTTTGGAGGGTCAGTGGCCAATTTTTTAATCGCTAGACCCAGCAAGAGCACCACAAAAAGGTACAAAACCAAATATAACTGGAAGATTTCATAGGGGTGGGGAATTCTGCAATCTGAGCAGGATTCCAGTGGCAGAAAAATATATATTTTGCAGAGTGTCCTTTTGTTAGAGATATCATTCAGGGTCCGTAAAAATGGCCGAGGCCTTTGCCCACCCCAATCTACAAACAAAGAGATGGCAT